TGTTTATTTATTTGTTTTATTTTTCAATATTTACAGAAATAATTCTTTGTATTCACTCGTAAACTCGACAGCAAAATAAATATGCATTAAATACAATGTTTTGTTGTAGACGTTGTAACAAAAGGTTTTTCCCCTTCTTTTTAATGGACCACTAATCTGCGCGCGTTTTCTTGAGCTCAGCCTATTTGTAACCATAAATAGTGGAATAATGAGTAAATTTTCCGAGAAAACAGGTTAGTAACATTTGAAAATAAACATTTTCGCTCCCGAATTATAGCAAAATTAATTTGCATCGGCAAATGAACTGCAGATTTGAGTTGCTAGTATTTCTAACGAAATTGCAGGGCCTGATTTAAGTATTGCGGTGCTTTTTATATGAAAACTACTATTTGTATATAAAATTTTTCATATATTATATTTATTACATGTACATTTTGTGTTACACAAATGTTATGCATATTTTTCCGAAGCGCAAGACCCCTCATGGATGGGGGCCCCCAAGCAACTGCTTGTTATGCTTGTGGGTAAATCCGGCCCTGCAAAATTGTAACCCATATCCCCGGTTCTACTCCTATCACAACTAGCAAAAGGAGAGTTCAACAAAATGTGCGCGTAGTGAAGCTACATTTACTTCCAGAAGCAAAACAAGGATCCATCTCAGCATTCGCTCAATGGATCAAGAAAACAGAACGAAAACCTGGCTGAGATGAGAGTAATTGACCCAGAAGCTGAAGAACATTACTTGTAATTGGCATAGTTTTACATATTTTTGAAAATTATTTATTACAAATGTAAACTTATGCGTTATATATCATTGTTAAAACAAAATATAATTTTCCTATTTGATAGTCAGTTTAGTCTCTAATTGTATGAAAACAGTTATGCGAAATAAAATATTTTTACTTTGAAATTAATTTCTTGTATCGATTTTGATTGATGTCATCTGGCAATGTGCTGTAAAGTAACGTAATTTACATGTACGAGTATTATATATTTTATTGCAGTGAGCTGTTGATACTGACATCCGTTGAGTGTGATTTTTATGATTTATCAATTTCCTAGAGTTGAATATCCGCATATACGGAAACAAATATGCTTTCAATATGTTCAGAAAATCGACGTACACAGCGTTTTCACAACTCTTTAGAACACATTCAATTTGTTGATGTCTTTAATATAGATATTACCGGCGATTTATATACATTATAGAATGTGCTACAAATGTGTAACTTACCCCTATTCACGATTATCTTGTACCGCGATGGGAAGACATTTTGTAATGCTTCAATCTTCTCAATTATTTATCTTTCTGTATCCAATTATCTTTCTTAAACATCTTTACATTGTGGCGACCATTTCTAACTAGTTTAATTTCCGAATTAATTTCAAAATTATTGTTTATTTCAATGACCTGCAATGCTCGTAAATTACTGCTCCAATGATTTTTAATTTGGCTTTTTTAAAAAATTTTTTGCACGAGTTCAACGAACAACATACGTCACCTTACCTGTTGCATGTGGATCTGTGACTGTACAGAAATCCTGTGGAAATTACTAATTACTGAATTGATGGCAATTCAATGAAATATCAGCCTTTTCTTTCCGAACAACAATTAAAAATTTATTACAAAATTAATATAACATATTTCTGAGCTCATTATTGTATCGCACGCGATCTATGGCTTGGAAACATTCCTTAGATCATTTGATAAAAGTCCCTTAAGCTTCGTAATTGCTGGTTCTCAGTTTCGAATTTTTGATGCAAGCTCTTAATGGCGCCTAGGAAGGGGTGGTTCTGGTCCTCCTGTGGTTGGTAAGTTCATATTGTGCTTATGTCCGTTTCGGGTAAACTTATACAGTTTCACCAGATTCGCTTCTAACTGATTTTCCGGAGTCCGCTATTTTTGGAAATTCCTAATTTGCTCAATGTTATCCAGCGACGGACGACTTCCCCTTACTTTCGGTCATCCTCTATTCGTTCGGACTACTATTTTTTTGCAAATAATCATATTTATAATTCCCTCTATAGCGATTTATCCTCATGTACACCCACGAACACAAAGTATACATTATTCTAAAATGCAAAAAATATCCCAAACTACAACCAAATGCTTGAACTATCATTAAAATACAAACATTTAATCAAACACACAATACTGCTTAGCCTATACTATTATAAAATATTCACTCTAACATTTACCCACATAAGTTTACTATGGCAAAATTAACATGTCATGTACATTACCATCAGTTCAGTTCGGCTGCTTCCGTGAGTGAGAATTTGTTTCTGGTCGCCTGGCCTAGAGTCACAACGCTCTCTCAATTCCATGCGGTCCCTTGACAATACTTTTCGTGCTTATTGCATCCAACACGGCACGCATACATGTTTATTCGTTGCTATGCTGTATATTCTTTGGATTCTAACATTCTCGATGCATCAAAATCCTGTCGAACACGTACTAATGATGTTTCTCGAAAATTCGGGATGAAAATGAGATTCAAAATGCGCATTATCATAAAAACTACAACACAGGGTACTAAAATTGGCTCCAAATTTTTCCATGAAATTTTGCTTGTAGGTCCAGATTTTACGCTTCTATAAAATTGTGGAATTCACATTTCATTTATTAGAAATCCAAAAAATTGAGAAAACGCGAAAAAAATGAATTTTAGTCGCGAATAAATAGTAACAGAAAAGGGTAGGACCAAACCAAAAAAATGTACAAACTAAAGAGAGAAGGAAACTAACTTGTACGAGAGTCTGTACCATTCTTCAGCACTACTAGTTAGCAGTATAGAAAACGTATTGTAATGCTGCGGAAATAACGGCAATTTTTCAACAGAACTCATTGCCGAGCTCTGGAAACGAAAACTTAGATGTATCTTGTTCTTTTCCTCCAGGTATATAGGCACTGCCTGGTATGCCTCCGTTCCCATCTCTTCTGCGAGTGGCCATGATTTCTTCGTCCTTTAAGGCAGTATTGTAGAATTATTTTCGGCAGGCGGTTGTCTTGCATCTTTCATTGTGCTGTGTTCAGGAATTTCCGTAGTAATTAATTTTCTCTTGAAGATTACTGGATTACACAGCCCAAGTTCTTTACGTATTTCTAAATTCCTTTTCTTGCCCATCAGCTTATAAGCAACTACAAATCTCAAAAATCTTATTTCAGCACTTCGCAGTCATGCTATCTATTTTGGCCATAGTCCAATTTTCATTTCTATATAAATATGTTGGGATACTTAATACCGTATAGAATTTAATCAGTTTCCTTTCTGACTTTTTCAGGGTTCTCACGATTGTTCTGTTTATTTGATTTAGTCTTTCATTTTTCCCTTGAATACCTATTTCCCCATCAGTTTGACATTTTGTATCACAAGAAATTTAAATTTGAAACTTGCTCTATAGGTGAATTGTATACAACTAATTTGGATATAACTGGTTCCATCCCTTAAAAGACCATGCCTTTTGTTTTTGGAAAGGATATGCAGAAAAAAATTGGCTCAATCATTTTTGATTAACACTTTTCACTTTTCCAAAATAGTTTTTTTCCACTAACTTCTTTTGACAATTGTTACAGTGAACAAGTGCTTTCCTAATCAATTTTAATTCCTCTTCGAAATCTGTAATTAAATTTAAACACATCATGGTATCAACATTTTCTGTCTGCAGGATGTTAAACATTACATCAGTGCTACTAAATGAAGGTGTTATGTAAAAACAGTTTGAAGCTTCACAAAAACTGCACAAATCCATTCGATGTGCATTTATCCGATTCCTCCCAGTTGTTATTATCGTTCTCCTGAATAACGGAGGAAAAAATAGTAATTGGCTCTTTGTACTTGTCAACTGCATTCACTAAGGGAGATGTAAAACACCACTTAGTAGGTAAAAAAGATAAAATGAATTTTTAAATGCTCATGAATTACAAATGTTCTCATGCTGGAATGTGAAGAGAAGGTAAATATGCCATTTAAGGTAGAAAAAAATATTTTTTCTTCAGATATTTCATTCATGTTTTGTGATAGCAAAACGTGTTTTGTTGTTGTTTTTTTGTTTGTGTGTGCGTGTGTAGCAATGAATAAATAATGGACTGAGGTACATATCCTCTACTTACATTTGCAAGCCAGCCCTGATGTAACACCAACCCAATTGTACATTTGGGCAATGAGTTTGATTTCTAGAATTTACATTTTGACATATTTTATCCATCACATATTCTGTCAGCTCTTAAATTAGAAATTACAATTAATCTTTATTTGCAACCTTCCTCCTTGTGCACATATCTCAACACTACTGGTAACTGAGATCTATTTCTAACATTGATGTTTTATCTAATAAAATAGAAACCAAATCCATTTCATGATGACCACAGAATGAAAGTACTTCATTTACTAGAAAGCGTGTAACATTACTCGTAGTTAAAAACATTTCAAGACTTCTCACTTCTTTTTCAATTTCTGGTTATTCAAGGTATTATTAACTTTTAATGTTGCTGTAGGCCTCATCTACCCTGTGTTTCCTGAAACTGTGTAAGTCCACTGTGCATTGAAGGTAGCTTTCTGATTTTTCATAGGCCTTAGCCAATTCCATGAGACCAAAATACAGTTGACACCCATTTTGGTCTGGTATTTGTACTGGTCCTTGAAATTGAAAGGCATGGCCCTCAAAAGTTTTGACAACAACTCACTTCCACTGAGCCACTTGTGGAGCTGCTAATTAGATACCGTAAAGTGTCTAAAGTAAATTTTGTAATTTTTGTTCACTTTAGCTGTGCAATTTGTTAATGGAGAGCAAGGTCAGTTCTTCTCTAAACAGTCAAAAGTTTCTCTTCAAAATTCAGAGAACCAAATGTTTTTGTTTGAATTGAAGCACATCTTCAATTTCACCTATAACATATGGTAACTAATATACACTTTTATCACAAACAAAAAATCAGTATAAGTGTCCAATAATCAGAACACAAAACACCACACCGTTTCACTCATGATACTAGTTCTTACTGTGGTGAGGTCTAATGGTGCCTTCCATGGGCATACTCGGAAACTGACAAACAGACGAGATGCTCTGACCTTAGCAAATGAGTTGTGCTTATAGTTGGGCAACAAAATGTCAACTGTGTGACCAACTGAATCTTTGAGAGTGGGCAACAAGCTCAATACACAACGAGTAGCGAATCTTTTGAAATCTTCTCGTTGTTTTATGGCTATTTCTCATCAGTTTTTTTACTAATACTGTTAGAAAATTATGTATGTATTTCAATTTATTTTCATTACTCTGATTGGTAATAATGATAATGATAATAATAATAATAATAATAATAATAATAATAATAATAATAATAATAATAATAATAATATACACACAATATGAGATATACGTTTTTTTTATAAAAAACAAATTGATGTCTCTTATCACAGACACTAAATATTTTGTGAAAATTTTCACAAAAGGATTGTCTAAAATAACACAACATATTATAATACCAAACTTAATTTACAATTCATTTCATGAGCTTAGCTTCTATCTCATACCAGCAAGAAGAATTACTAAAAATGATATTTGTATCCATAAAAAAATTTGACATGTCTTTCTTGAATAGTATTATGATATTGTTCATTAACAAGGTAAAAACCTGTTACATATAACTTATGACACAGCATAAGAATGTTTATGACTGCAGATGAATTGCAGTTACAGTGAACCATTATAGTCAACCCAGATTTTCAGTGACCAATTGCAGAGAAACAGTGAATGTAAGGCCATGCAAAGCTGTCCATGAGGGCAATTATGAAAAATTTTTGCAACAAACCAGTACAAATCTCAGATTTCCAACCATCACAGTTATTTTATCATTTTTTCATTCTTTCCATAATTAACACTAAATATATTATGCTAACAGCATAATTCTAAGTCAACCAGTATTATTCACCTTTTCTTGCTATTACGATATGCACATGCTTCTGCCCAAAATCTTTCTTATTATAAAAGATTCTAGGTGAACTAGTTGTTCTTCTTCTTCTTTCCACTTTTCTTCATGTTCTTCATTTTTTGTAATAGATCTAAACAATCATTCTTGAGCGTGCGAACTGCTTCAATAAACAATACATCTGGTGGTAACGCTCCCACAGATTCTATTGTAACTGAAACAAGAAATTAACAAAATAAATTGAATCGACAACTAGCCTAATCAATAAAGATACAAATTTCATGTTTGGAAGTTTAATTCTATCCATTTTTATCATTAAAATGTACAAAAATCATTTTTATTACATATGGTGAAAGACTATCAATAACTTAAGTCTTAGGAAAATTCCTGAATCCATAAGTGATTACCTCAAAGTTAAGAATAGTGAAATTTGATAGTATACTGCTGAGATAAAAGAAAACTTCATAAATAAAAGAAGCTGATGAAAGATTAATATCAAGGAAAACTCACAAATGAAGTGATGCTTTACTCTTTCTAGCTGCACAGCATCCTTCAGATCTTCATGCCGAAACACATTTCTACTGCAAGTGTCGTAGCGAGCATCACTCACATATGCTTTCACATTTCCTAAAAATAAAATCAACTATTCATCAAGGAGCGTACTATTTGCACCTACAAATTTCAAAGAACTGAAGATCCCTTTGAAAAATCAATCTCAGAAAAGTTCCAATGACTAATAGTTCTCAAAACAAATTTAATATTTTCTAAATAGAAAAACACAAAGCTATAAAAACACTACTTTAAAATAATTATTGGTTCATGTCAGTTAGTAGCAATACCTACACCTTCATATACACATTGATATGAAATCAATTTAAACACTAACAAAAGAAGACATAAGACTATCTTAATAATACATTAAAATAGGTATGTGTTATTTTGAAGGGAAAATTTCATTATTCCTCAATTTCTTCCTTAGAAGTAATTTACATGCCTACAAGGAATATCCATTAAAACAATTTAGAGATGAATCTTTCACAAAACATCAAATGGTAAGTATTAGTAGATGTCTAGGGGAAAAAAGGTTATGAAGGTCAAGAAAAGGATTTCTGTAACAACTGCTGTTTTCTGAAGCTGAGTTTCCATCTTCCCCTTCCACTTCAATCACAATTTCAGGGTGTTTGCCTTTAACTTTTTAATTCCTTGTGACCATGTTGTTAGAGTTATCGACAAGGTAATACAATCCATCCATAGGGTATCTAGTAATATACCAAGCAATCGACTTACGCTTCTGTATATACGTATCAAGGCCCACACAGGAGGGAAGTTTTTGTATTGGAGGCAGCAAGGACATTCACTATTTCAAGGCTACCCATGAAACAGGGCCTGGAAAATTAAATTTGGCCAACAGCACATGCACGGAAACAAGGGAAAAGGGTTCTGTTTCATTGAGGACAAGTGAATGGGAGTGTAAAGGCGACTGACCTTCAAGACACAAACTTTATGTTGGTGAGGAAGATAACAGATAAGGGCAACAGTGACCTTTGCCAGAAGATGAAAGCCGGGGTTCTAGACAGTGAGGGGAAAGTGCTGGTCACGGCGAAACGACATTTACTTCTGCACAAGAGAATGGTGCGTGTATGAATATTGACTGGGAAAAACATGTGCAGAAAGGACTGGAAAGCAATTCCCTTGAAGACTGGCACATCCGTCTTGGCGATTTGAAGGTTCCAGATTTATGCAACGCTGTGAAGAGTGGACATTTGCAAGATATTGTTGAGAACATTAACCAAGAACAGAGTTTGTCTCCAGGGGAAGATGTGCTAAACACTGTTCCTCAGAGCTTGAGAACATTCATCTGCAGCAGGTGACTTGATTTATTCTGATGTATGTGGATAAATGCATGTGACATCAATGGAAAGAACAAGTACTTCTAAACACTCTTTGATGACTATTCACACTGGTGTTAGATAAGGTTTCTGAAGAAAAAAGCAAAGCTAACAAAGAATTTGACAGCTTCAGAGCCAGGGCCATATAACTCCCATATAACGTGGTGGAGACCATTACGGTGGCACGCTCTTCTGCATCACCTTCTTTACAGGAACTAAAACAGGAACTGCTGCCAACGATACTTTAAACGTGTGTGACTGCTGCATGAGTTCGCGGGTCGCAAGCAGGACCATAATGTTACAAAAGATAACGTCTATGTTTGCGCTTTCTCTAGAGGTTTCTTACAAGTAGAGATTATGAATAATTGTACATTTAGAAGACACTTTTCGTATTTCTCACAAATTAGCCAATTTGTGTGTGGGAAAGTTGGCAAGCCTAACCTACTGCTGCACCCGGCGACACTACCGCTTCCTATAGTAGCAACCTCGAGCTTTGTCCCTGATTTTGATGGAGAGTTGCCGTGCCCTGTTCAGAACCTTCATGGAGAGTTAGCAAAGGAAGAAAATAAAGTGCCTCCTGTTGGATAATGGACTGGAGTACAAGAGTTGAGAGTTCGACAAATTACTGGAGAGGCACAGCCTCTCATGAAGGTTAACAGCACCTGGAGGAGAATGGAAGGTTAACAGCACCTGGAACAGCAATCTGGAGCAGAATTGTGTAGCCAAAAGAAAGAATAGGTTGCTGAGGGACACAGCAAGATGTTTGCTAATCCAGTCAGGACTGCCCTCCTCTCTCTGCTGAGGCAGTGTAAACAGCAAACTTCATCCACAAGCGATGCCTTTCACAAAAACTAAACGGGAAGACGCCCTATGAACTCTGGGTCAGAAGGGCACCAGATGTATCTGACTTCAAGCGTTTTGGTAGTGAAGTCGTCACGGACAATCACCCAGAAGTCACAAGCTCGAACTGCCCTCCAGGAAAGGTTACTTTGCGAGCTACAAAGTAGAGGCAAAGGGTTTTAGAATACTGAGTGAGAGGAAGGTTGAAGTATCCAGAGACATCATGTTCCGCACAGCCACTGATGGAACCCAACACCAAGTGCAAAGACTTCTGACTTCTGAGGAGCACCATGCTCAAAAGCCCCCAAAACTGCTGAAAAATTATAAGGTAGAGGCCTATGTAAATCCCTTCATTGAAATGAAACTCAGCCGGAATCCTCCTGCATGCCCAGGTCAAAACAGCAGAGTTAGAAAGGAAGTAGAGACAGACATTCAAACAGCAAAGATTTTCATGGAACCACAGTCAGACCGCAAGGACTTCTGTGGATTGGTGCCAGAGATTGCGGTCAGACTGCTACCTGGAAGACCTTGCAAGATTTACACTGGACAGCCAGGAAGATCTCACTTGGACCACCCGGAGGGCAGGGGCGGAAGCAAGGTTTTGGAGAAGGAGCGGGTTCAGGCTGCAAACTTTACTGAAGTTCGATCAAGCAAGCCCTTTCTGGCGAGACCTCAGAGGAAGGGTACTCTCTATGATACGGAACATATTACCATTGAGACCTACGATCCAGTCGCTCGGCTGAAATCCATTCACCTGACGATCGCCCTGGATGCAAGAAATGGCATGCAAATCCAACAATTTGATGTGGCTGCAGCATATGGGACTGGATGAGGATGTGCTCGTGGAGGATCCTTATGAAATTAGCCATTCTCTTGGATACATCATCGCCAATGAAAATCAAAATCTGATTAATGAAGCCAAATCCCTGATGAGGGAGGGAAGGTCTGTCAAACGAAGAAGGCCATATAAGGTTTGAAACAGGCCAGACACGCTTGGCACAAGCGACTCGACAAGGAACTAACAACTGGGAGCCGTGCCTTCCACATGAGACATGTGTGTACCTTATGGATATCAGTAACAATGCAATGTTCTTTGTAATTTATATTGATGACATACTAGTAATACGTTAATAGTCCAAGAAGATAGATGCTTTCGAAAGTTATCTGGGAAGACCTTTCGAGGTGAAGGATCAAAGAAGCTGGAACGGTGCTTGGGGTTAGAATTCAAGATGATTGAGAAGTCTATCTACATGAATCAGAAGATGCATATAGAGAACATTTTGCATTGATTCAATGTGTGGCCCATTGTGCCTGGCTCAAACCTCACACTAAGACTGATGAGCGAGATGACTCCGATGGCAACAGATCACCATATTGTGAGCTTGTACAGTGTCTCCTGTATCTGTTGGTGGCAACAAGCCCAGATATATACTACGAATAATACTTCTGTCTACTTAACAGCTCTCTCCTGACAGGCGAGAGGGAGTTCTGTTATCCAATCAGTGGTTTTAAATTGTGATGACTGCAGAGTTGCCGATACTTATTAAGAAAAAATGAAATCTCGTAGCGCAAAGCACCTGTATATTGAAGAGCATTATTACTTCTTTGGTTGTGCATCATGTGAGCGATTCTGCATTGTCTACAGTTGTGGGCTCTTATTGCAGTTTTGTTTCTCACTACTGTTCTGATCTGATGCAAGAACACCACCTGCCGCCCAAGTAAGTGGCATCATCGCTCTACCCCCACTCGCTGTCAAGTTCCACTGGCAAGCAGGAAGAAGGTGATGTGATACCTAAAAGGCACTGTGGACTTGGATGTCAGATATGAGGTAGAGGACTCTCCCATCATCGGATATGTGGATGCAGACTGTGCTGGGTCGAAAGACAACAGATGGTTATTCACTGGATATGTATTCATCATGAGTGGTGGACCCGTAACATGGTCTCAATAATGCAAAGGACAGTTGCGATCTCCACAACAAAAGCTGAGTACATGGCCCTGAGCGAGCCGGCCCAGGAGGCCACACACCTTCAAATTTTTTGGGTTGAGTTGGGAGAGGTCGAGCTCAAGGCGCTGACTCTGTACAACACAACTTTATCTTCCAGAAACTAGTGACAAACCTGGTCTTTGATTCTCGAACAAAACACATAGATGTTCAATATGCTGAGCAACCGATTGACGCTTCTGTGTTCTCTTTGACTAGAACTGTACTGTGTCTGAGACAGTCAAAGTGAACATGTTCACACAGCATCACGGGTTGTAATCTACCTATTATAATGGGAAGATTTGTGCATCGATTGCTTAGCGTGTGAGCTGTCTGTAATTCCAGCAGGTTTAATCAATGACATCATCACTTAAATCCATCTTTTCACTGAAATCAAAGTTTCTATCGGCGGTTGAATCTTCAGCCCTTCTGCATAAAATCTGTTCTCCAGTTCTTATCCTTGACTACATCATTTCTGCAATCTTCACAGAGCATTTGAAAACTAAGGTTTTTGGTATAATTACCTGACTTTGTCTTCTGCAAGCCAATTACTCCAGGAGAAAAGCATTTTTGTAATTTATAAGCTAGATCATCCTCTACATCTCTTAAAAGAGTTATTTCAGGTAACAATCGGTAAAATGCAGTGGCTATAAAAAAAAAAAAAAATTAAAAACTTAACAAAATTATAGAACACCAGAAATAAAAAGTAGTCATTTATTCCATGTTACATACCAACAGGAGAAAACTTGGCATGATCACGGCCAATGCCTTTGATAGCATGTAATTCTATATCCATTTCTTGACCGGGAACCATCTTGGCTATGAGAATGTCGTGATGAATAGGATTCACATCATCAGGTTTATATACATTGCTCTGGCTACCCATTGGCAGCCATTTTATTTGTGAAGAATACACTGAAATTGTTTTAATGATACTGGTAAATTTACATGACTATATTGCTTTGGAAATAATTATTAATGCTGCTTAGTATTTGCTATTTCATACTATGAAAAACCTCTGTATGAGAATTTTATATTGATTTTATTTAACTAAATTAAAACAACTTTGACTAACTGCTGAATTGTAGGAAAACGTGTAGTTTCACAGCTTGTTAAACAAACGAAACTAGTCTGATCTCTTCAGATATCTTGTAAGGAGAGTTAAAAGAGATTGAAGAGGAATTATGCATGCACTTACAGGGCAAAATAACCATTTGCAAATATTTACTGAATACATGGTCTTGCTTTAATGGTTTTCTGCTGCCATTTTGAAGATTGCAGCATATGGCAACAAAGAAACAATATTATTGATTATATTGTGAACTAGTTAAGTTGACTATTAAAACATTCAGTTATTTTCAGTATCTTTATGTTTTATGACAATCAGCGGAATCATTTAACATGTAACCAGTCAATTGTATTTCGTATAATTTGAAATACTGAAATAATATAAAATAAGTTCCTTCAATAATTAAAATTATACAAAATACGATTGACAGGTTATGTATTAAATAATTGTACTGACTGTGTTTAAACATAAGATACTAAAAATAACAGAATATTATTTTCTCAATAAAATATTGATTAACAGTTTCTTTTACTGTTTTCGATATTAAATACATAAAAAGGACAGTAATTTCTTCTCAGATGATGTCTGAAGGCAAGTGAAGCTATAAATTCTTAAGATAATAGAGAATGAACATTTTAATTATCTTCAAATTCATTTTTTATTACAAATATTATAAGCAGAAACACGTTTACCAGATTTCAGATAACATATTTCAAATCTATTCTCACTATAGACTACTAACGCCATGAAATGTGGAAAAGGTTTCCATTAAAGATGTTGACAAATTTTGTCTTACATATATGCAAGAAATGCATTTCAAAAAATAATGACAAAATTCATTTTGAGGTGAATTCATTTGTACATGGTATATAATTATAATAATTTCAATTTTTTTTTAATGCAAGTTTTACTAAAATTTTTGATGGAGTTATTGACAGGGCGATACAATCCCATTAGGAGAGTGCCTATCAATATGCCGAGCAATCAACTGACGGTCCTGTGTACTATTTGACTAGAGCCGAACTGTGTCTGTGACCGTCGTGGAGAACGTGTGTGGCTTGGTGCGCTAACTGTGTGTTGTGTGTCACGAGTTGTAATCCACCAGAATCTGCCTGTAATAAGGAAAAGATCTGTGTGTCGACAGACTGTGGTGCGAGCTGTCAATAATTCCAATAATTTTATAGTTAGAAAATTTAACATTGTTTTACTGTCTTAAAGCTGATTAATATTATAATAGTTTCTGTTCATCTTAAATTTAGAGCAACTCCTGAGGACGAGGGAAAGAAGTCCTCGAAACATACAGAGATTTTAGAAAGACTTTAAAAATTAATAGAACATTTTAATAAAAATTTTTGAATCTAAATTATGGTTTCTGGTTAATGTATTAGTTTTTAACATTTTTAATAAAAAATGACTGTCTAAAATATTTCAGAAAAAAAAGAAAAGAAAAAACCCAACAACAACAACCTATAAATGGGTATTTTCTTCTTTCTTTCCATAATTTGTATGAACATTCAAAGCAAAGGAGACAGAGTTTTAATTCATTCTATTTTAGGTTATCCATCTAATTTCCTTGAAATTTGACATATGATGTGCATGATCCAATAACACAAAGAGCAAAAACTCACACAATATTTAGGACGCTTCGTCAAGTAGAGTTAGGATTTTAGTCATTATCAAAATTCAAAATAATTAGGCAAAATAGCACTAAAAATAACAAAAGAAGGCTCTAAAATAGCAACAAAAATGTGCACTGATATTTTCTCAAATAAATACTGAGATTACATGGCAATCCAGGCTTACCAAAAATGCAATGCATGTGCATTTAAACAAAGTTTACAGAAAAGATGCTATGAATATTTGACTTGTGTATAAATTACTACTGGGTCTTTAACTCATCTTTTGCAACCCATGCCTGGAAGCACCTGCTCTTGTTTTGGGAATTTGTAAGTACATTTGGCAACATGTAAAGTACCTTCGAAACCCCTTCCACTTTTTGCACAGCCCCGGCAGTGGCATGTCCTCAGATTTTTGGGTGGCGTAATGCAATTAACTTAGTTGGGATAAAGAGTAATCACTTACTCTGTTACTCTTCAACATGTAGCAGCCACTACACTGAAAAGAATAAATGCCTACCTCTTGGCAAACGGTGGTCACTTGGGCATTTACACTAAAATCAGTTTGTTGTTAATTATGGGAAATATTATTTTATTATTTATTAATTTTATTAAGATTTTATTTGTATAATTTTCAGGTACCTTAATAATAATTATAATAAAAATAATAATAATAATAATAATAATTAAAGTTACTATTATTATATTATTGTTATAAATAATGTTCTTGGCAATGAAGTTCCACAAGTTACCTTTCTGAAATCCCTCTGAGTCGGTTTTCATTAAATAATGTTACATTGCTGTTAATACATTGATAAATCAGTCATAATTTTCCTTCACATCTTCAGAATCAGTTTTGTTTCTTATGCATTCTGGACAGAATCACCTAAAAAGTTTGCCTGTTCATATCTATGCTCAGAGCAAATAGATTCCAATGTCTAAACATCACACCCACTCACCCAAAGTCCCCAATGGGATAAAACAAAAACATTAAAACTATATGTAATATTTGGGAAGCAGGAAACCTACATTTAGTGTCACTTTTTGCAGTAATCAGAGTGTATACGCTTTTCTCAAAAAAAATAAATTCAAAATACAATTTTCCACGCTTTACATACCATTTGTATTAACTTGTTGTTCCGAAAGAGGTGCAGATGGCGAAGCGTTTTTATTCCAGCTGCACTTTACTTTTAATTTATACTTCAGTGTGTCTACATCTGTCCCGTTTTCATCATCTATAAAACAGAAAATTTACATACAGGATGTATAGTATTAATTTCTGTAGTATGTATATAATTCTGTGTATATATACATCATTCAGTTTATCTTACAATTTAATATTTATGGGTTATTATGAAAGAACCAAAGAAATCACATAACTTCCAAATGTCTCATATGATTTGTTTATAAACAAGCAAGCAATGCTAACATTTTGCTCCACTGACACTAAACAATGATGTATATTATTTTTCCTGTTATTCAGTACAACATCCCAAAATATATTTTAAAAAAAAAATTAATCCAGTGATGAGCATCTATGCCTACAGGTAAACAATATGTAGGCAACATAAATTTTGATTTCATTAAGAACAAGAATCCCATGTGTTGGGAAATAATCATACAAAAATGTTAGAATACAGAATATCATAATTGATTTAATTATAGACTCATGGGTTTTTGGTTGATTTTTACCTCTTATACTTTTGGATTGTTGGTTTTCTTGAAATTCTGTTTTATCTTTATGTTTTAAATAGCATACAGCGGTTGTATATAAAGTTTCATGTTATGTGATGGGACAGCCTCCCCAGTGAAAATGCCCACGCTTTGCTTTTTATAAGTATGTACTAAGTTATGTACAGTCAACTACGGTTATAGTGAACTTCTGGGGACTAGTATCTTTGGTTCACTATATCCAATGATGTCAAAATTAAATAGAATTCCCCGTAACAATTGATTTTGAAAGAAATATATAGATATAATAACAAAATACTTAATACAGAGACGCAGTGAAATACATTAACAACACAAACCAAAACTTTTTATATTTTCATTTTTCCTTAAAAAAATCAATTATTTTCAATTGTTGGCTTTGTACTTTTTCTTCAGTAATTTCACTAGATCCTTCTTCAGTCTGTGCTCTCTCCATACCTGATTCTACATTGTCCAACGTCCCTAACTTATGCAATACAGTCTTGACTCCTTTCAACGCTTCTTCCACTATTGGAACACAGTTCTACTCCCTGAAGGCTTTTAATCACCTAATAACATACAAAACGCTTCCAGTAGAGAGATGGCACAAGCGGCTAATGAAACTGATCACTTTTGCACATGGTACGGTGGATATCGCCAGTCTGTGGCCCCCTATCTTCTACATACAACTTCAAGTACCCCCACCCCCTTCTTTATCCCGCGTAATATCAAATAACACCAAGATCACAACCAAAGAAAGCAATGGTGCGTTGCCACATGTTGTAGCCCATGGTCTTTGTTTCCGCTGTGAAACTAAGTGGCATAATGTCATCAGTAAGATGTCCATTCTGCATCTGCTACCTTCACTTCAGGAGAGACATCTTTGATTATGACCTTCGACCAATGGTATTTTTTTCAAGCTGCCTAGTGTTTGAATATGAGATACTGAGGCAATTCATTCTTTCGGAGGGGAGAATTAATTTCCAGAACATTGTATTTCCTACATTCACTAAATCCAAATCTTTCTTATACTTATTTGTAATGCAAGTGAAACGGGACCAGTGACTTAAGTTCACTATATCAGAGTTCATTACAACCGGAGTCAACTGTATATTGCTCACTACCCCTCCCCACCCTAAGGTTCTCTTTATAGTCACCTCTCGTCCCCTCCACCTTGGATATCCCCCTTGTGGGAGCGACACGAAGTGCCAGTTTACATGAATTCCTTAAGTTGTACTGTTTTCTAGACTTCAGCCTTAATCTATTACATTTTTTAAGGGAAATGAAAGTAAAAGCACCGTCAAAAAATACAAGATTTCTGACAAATATTTATGCTTTTCAATTTCAATGCTCATTATTTAATATAATGATTTTTAACTTTTATGTTACTGTATGCTATACAAAGAAGTAACTTACAGAGGTCCAGCATGACCTCATACCAATTCAATTCTCAAACATATACCACCATCATTAATAGTAGCACACTTTGACAGCAACTAACAAATCTGAAATAATGAATGTCCATCCTGTGTTTTTGCCTATGCTTATTCTTAATCACATGCCCATTGTTCACTATTCCAGGTTTGTAATTATTATTTGGATTTCCATTGAATGTACAAAGAATTTATCGAAAATCAAGTACTGTGTCAAGTAAGAAAATCTATCTAAAAAGTAGGTTTAATTCTTTTTAATTAAATTTCTTAAATCTAAATGATTTTTCAGAATTCTTAAATGTCACTAAATAGTTTAGCAGCTTATGCTACTACTTCTAAAAGTGTTTTAACAATGAAACATTAACAAAGAATTCACAATTACCTGGCTGTCTGTATTCAAATTGACGGGCATCAGCCTTTAAAGGTATGAGGCCTAGACGATGCGCAAGAACTTCATCTTGAATGATGGAAGTATTGTTATAAATTAAAACTTTCTCAAATGCCATACTAGGTACCTGTAATAAATGATATACCAGATTAAAAATAAAATATAACAATTTGTAAACAAACTTACAAAGAAATACAAATTGTCTGTTAAATATTATTACCAAAATCATGAATGAATTATACTTACATCTGAAAGCAATATTCTCCTAAAAGCATTAACAATGGCAGCTTGAATACCTATTAAGTCAAATTCCATTTCCAATGAATTACGCTTAACTATTTTAATTTGAAATTGCTGGAAAGAAATTATAAAAAAACAAAACATATTTGAGTAAGACACTATCAAACTAAGTATCATTACTCCAGAATAAAACTGACTTTCACAGACCTAATTTTGTCATTAGGAGATACTTACTTCACGCCATTTATCAAAATCCCAATGCCCATCTTCATTCAGGTACAATCCATCCTCAGAAGGCAGCAACTAGAAACAATACGGTGTAGTGAGTTCCGAAAGTACAACAATAAAAATATACACAAACCACGCTTTCGACATCTGCAATTCACTGTAAATAATTCTCACATTTGCCACAGATTTTTCTTTCATCAATATGTGAGTTTTCGCTCTATCAATATTGAAGTTTGATTTTGCCATGACTGTAGTCTGTAGGGAATAATTAAAGGCGATTGAAATACTTTATTGTTCTCAATGACACAATAATAAAATTCTCATTCCACAATTGCCCAACTGCGGACACATGTATCCACAAAATCAAGGGCAGAAAATGTCGCAAAACATACACACGAGAACACAACACCCAACACACACCGGCATACACATGCCTCGCGGTCGCGGTCGCGGGGTCGCAAAGTGCACGCAACAGGAGCACGTGTGATGCGGTGAAGCTCTAAGAATAAATATATATTCAGTAAACACGGTATAGAGATATCTAGAATGATGTTCAACGTTTGGCGGGAAAGTGTTGGATGGCAAGTACGAAAAAACTCGCTTTTACTACTAAAACTATGTCAACTAACTCCTCTGTGATTAGTGATGGAAACAATTGGAAAATAAATAAAATATAATCAATATATCTTACGAAATCACTAAATGCGGATTTATGCAAACTAGCAAACCGCAAAATGCGAATCGCTAGCAATAATCCGTGATTGGCTTGAATGTTTACGGAATCTACAAAAGTGGTAATTTTTTCATTGCAAACGAAAATAATTGCAAAATTTTCCCTACTACAACGTAATATCAACAGATTGTGTGAAGGTTGGCAATGGCTTTTGCCAACAAAATGAAATGAAACTACCCTAAATCGAATTTGAATACATGTTCCCATCCCACAGTGGCATTTTTCAAAAGTCGTTAGCTGGCCCGCACTACAAATTCTATCATGATCCTCATGATGTTAGCGATGATGCTAAGGTGCTTTCAAAATAAAATGAATGAAACAGTTGGTTCCACGTCTCCTTTCATAGGTTATGAAAAGTGCCAAAGAATTTCGAGCCCATATACTAATAACGTAGAAGTGACTCCTTCCGAATATATTTATAAACTATGGGCTTGTTAAGTTGTATTTATTGTAGAAATGTGTATCAATAAAAGCAATGTTACATACATTAAATTTTAATAATCGTTTGAAAAAAAATCAGAATGTTCATAATCACAGCCTGAAAAATGTTTGTAGATTTTCACGGTGTGGAGGAACTTTCAACACTAAGTTAACCAGAATTTAATATGATTGACTATTAATTCGTCAATGCATTAATTGTAATAAATATATAGTTAATTAGAAATATAAAAAATCTTGATCTTTTTACCATATTTTTTTAAAATGTATGCAGTTTCTAGTGCTGAATTCAAATTTTGAAGGCTGAATTTCACTATTCAAGTCACGCTATTAACATATTATTTATCCCCAATGATTTTAATGTTATTATTTTTTATGAAACGTATTTGCAATTTATTTTGCTTGGCAATTTCTTATGAACATTTGATGCCATTTCTTGCAATATAATTGGGATACGACTTAATAACCCTGATGGCAGAAGAAAATAGTTGATTTCGTGATCTACGTAATATCTGAAATTCGCTTTTAGACAAAGATTTCAAGCAGATGACTCGTACGTATTATGATTCTGTGTTTATACATCACATTCAGGCAATGCAAGTAAATAACAACTTCTTTATTGGGAACTATGTCATTTAGTAGGATGTTTATATTGTAGCAATATGGAAAATCTACATAGAGTTTCACATGAAACCTCGGAGAATGTCAGGGAAATGGTTGCGTAGACTTCCAAATGCCAGGTAAATATTTAGACATGAATTGCAAATCACAAAGATGGGCGGAACTTGTAATAAACTATTGACTTGAAATAACTATCTAACTTTTCTTGCTTCAAAGCAGAAATCTACTTTTGTCCTCTTCGTTATGAGACTACTATAATTTTGTCATTTTGATTTTCGGGAACAGTAGGGCATCCAAAAAAGCTAATTTTGTCTCGCCTGGCCCCTTTGAACCCAATCCACAATCCGATACAACCTATTTCATGAAAATACATCTTTATTTTAAAGAAAAAAAGAACATCTCGCCGCGAGAAAGTGTACCAAAACAAAAACGTTTTAAAACTATTATAGGCAGAGGAAAACATCCAACGAACAATAATCACGATCTTTTAAAAGAAAATCGATACTTTTGCCATGTTTTATCCATATACTTGGATTTTTATATTTTAGCTCATGAGAATTGTCATATCGACGGAATATCTCACAGCATTTCGTGTCATTTTCAGTCGTGCCGCTAAATGTCGCATGATCGCCAGGATTGTTCGATTCAGTCGCGACATCTAGCGACACGACAGAAAGTCGAAATACCGTGAGATATTCCATTATAAAGTTACGGCGTTGTACGCCAAGAAATAAAAATCCAAGTATAGTAGCCTACCGCTTGCCACAAAGAGGCGACGGTGCTGCTCTCCAATACTATTAAAAGTCACGTGTTGTAATACATTGCTGTTATATACATAAGAGGGAATTCCCCGGTAATCTATACCTTATTTATTGAATCGCCCCATCCCTCCCAATAATTTGATGTTGGTGACGCCTTATCTTAACTGAAGAGAGACAAGGAACATAAGAAAGAAACCGCCTGGGACAATGTGTATTGACACGGCATAGAGCGCGCCATTTAGTCCTCTTGTTACAGCGTTCATGAGAAGCTAGTGATGTAAAAGTTGGTCATCATGCGAAGAGATGTTCAGTTGTTTCTGACCTGGTCTTGGTCAACAATGTTCAAAACGTGCGTTACGCAGTCGCAAATCTGCTATACTCGTACTTGTTCTGTCATGAGCGCGCTAAATACTTGTTGAAACTTGTGTCTTGTGATGGTTTCATATATCTAATCAGTTATTGTGGATGTAGCTTAATGACAGTAGATAAAATGGAGTAAGTAGAAGAGAATGATACCAAAACTGTGTTAAAGTTGTCTTTATTAGAAAACATTAGCTAAACAAAGTATAAAAATGTCATTTCGGGATCGGGTGTTACCACCGTGGCTAATTAATCTGGAAAGCGGGAATACCCCATCCAAAAAGAAAACTGAGTGCAACAAAAGTCACGGTAATAAGAAACATGTGAATGTGCATAATGACAATGTCAATCATGCTTCTGCAGATGAAAACGAGAATTTACCATCAACAAGTAAAATTATAGACAATTCTGTTATGGTTGATAGGCAAACTAAAACCAAATTGTCGCCAATAAAACAAGCTAGGAAGCCGCCACGCGCGAATCCAGAGATGAGTAGTAGTGAAGAAGAAGTTGAAGTGAAACCTGATATTACTTCTTTGTCAGAATACATTCCAGAAGCCGACTCCACTGTGGACAGTCAGTTACCTCTTGTTTCTTCCATAAAGAAAGAAGAAGATGATGCTACAGATATAGAACTTGATCCTAATATAAAAAGAGAAAGCAATAAAGGATCAGTATGTAAAGAAGGACAAGAAAGTAGAGGAATTGAAAGCAACAATAATGATAAAAGTACTGAAAATGATGATCGAAATATTTGTGATGCTGGTTCTGATACTGGAGGTCCTATTGGAAGCAATGCTGATGCTGGTTCTGGAGATGATATTCTTGTTAGTGTTAATGCTGATTGTGATGCTGGTACTAGTATTGATGCTGCCATATCTGTAAATAGTGCTGGTGGGGATCAATCTGATTCTGTTAGTAGTACAACTGACAGCACTAATAAAATTGACAGATCTAAATGCAAATATGGAGCTCAGTGTTATCGAAAGAACCCCCAACATCTACAAGATTTCAGTCATCCAGGTGACAGTGATTATTCTACTATTGACAACCGTCCAGAATGTCAGTATGGTTTAGCATGTTATCGTAAAAATCCTCTTCATCGACAACATTATAAGCATACTAAAATGGTTCAGAGGCCAAGGAAGGCTAAACGTCAAAAAAAGAAATTGGTTGATGATAGTGCTTCAGATGAAGATGATTATGATTTGGATGATTCATTTATAGATGATGGAAGTTCTGATGATTATAAACCTTCTGATAGTGATAGTGAAACTGACTTCGAGGAAGGGGGAGAAGCTGAGAGTGATGATAATGCGGAACAAGATGTCAATGATTCAAAGAAAATTAAACGAAAACGCAGACATTGAATTGTCTTTGAAGGGAATGAATATGTACACTGTACATATGTAGTAAATGTTAATATTGCAGAACACTTAAGGTGATAACACTAAATATTATTTTCTTGTGGTAATATTTTTGTTATTGACATTTATGTGGTTACGAAAGTCTGTTTACATTTTTTCAATACTTATCATTGAAGCATTGAGATAGGTTGGCCAGTAGAAAAAAATGTACCTGTATGTTTTCATCACTGTCTTTGGCAATGTTCAAACGTTCAATTTTTAATGTAATATAAAAAAATGTAAGACCTTGTTACATGTTTTTGAACCGTTAGGCATTTTAATAATAATTCCAGTGTAGAATGCACCTCTACAATAATACTGGGAAGGATCATGTGTACAATTTTCTTAATGATACTAATATGCCTCAGTGTGTTTCAAATTACAAGTGAAAACATTCAAAGATAAATTGCATTATTAATTATTGAAGAGCATTTTGTATGTTTCCTCCATATTTGTCTCTTACTCTTTTGTTTCCAGCTTATTACTAGTCATAATGTTTTGTATTTTGAAACAAAATATATTTACCTTCATTCTAAATATAATTATAACTATTTGTAATGTCTTGAAATAGCTTTCGAGAACACAATGTCATGATGAAAGAAACATAAGAGTTAAAAAGGTAAGTGTTGTTCCATTGAAAACAAATTAATTGATGTGAGAAGGTTTGATAATGCAAAAAAGAATTATTGAGGACTTGTATTATTAAAATGTTGCTTCTAGATTTGTGTGATAGGTTAATATTTTAAATGAAAGTTAGTTGTTCTTTTTAGTTCTCTTTGCCCTAATTTATCAAAGGAATATTATTCATTTAATAATCTCCTAAAAGGGTATTATTGCATATTGAAAGATTATTGATTTAGTAGTTGTGAATATTGTTTTAATTCGAGATCATTTTTAATGCAGTACAAATTAAATGTGGAAGTGAAATTTCTAATACTTTAATTTTGAGATGGATTAAAAGAATTCTTGTGTTAAGTAATGTCTTCAATTGTTTTGAAAATACTACTGTTTTCTTAGCATTAAGAAATTGGTCCAAAGACTTGTGCCTTTTAAAATAAGAAGAATGCAATAAAATAAATATTATTTTACAAAAAAAAATTATATATATAAAGATAATTTGTTGAGGAATACTATTACTACTACTAATAATAAAAATAATAATAATAGTCTTTATTTCTGGCGAAGCTCAGGCAGTAAAACCTGCTCTTCTGCCTAACCATGTACATATTTTAACATTTACATAACTACAATTGCGGTCAGACAGAAGTAATGACTGACATTTCATGTTACAAAAGTGCAATGATCATATTAACTAATGAAAATGTGCTGCACATAAAGCATGAATGTGTTTTCATTGTCAATTTGTCAGGATTTTATAACTAATTTGATATAATGAGAACCTTTGTATCTCATTTACAAGAAGGGTGTAATAAAGGCATTCATTTTACGTTTGCAAAATATCAAAACTCATATCCAAGGCTACACCCATATCCCTCAATTGTGAACAAACTGCAAGAAAACGAGGGCAGATTTTACATTTATATCTGTGATGCACGACTAGCAACCATCCTGGCATACACCTTAAGCAATTGAGTAAACCCAGGAAAACATCAATCAGGATGGTGGCATAGGGCCATAACACATGTATATGTTTTGTATTAATTTTATTTGTATATAATAAATATTTTGATGTCTACCCTAGTGATTATTGTACATTTATGAGAAAGTTGTAAGTAATGTTTCTTGTGTTGTGACATGTAAAAGCATTCATTTGTAGATAGTTTTTTGGTACTTAAATGTTGTGTACCAATATACTGGTTGATTTGAATTCTTTGTATATGGGAACTTTTCTGTATAATAGTATACATGTTTTAATAAACAATTGTGTGTTGAAAGATTTTTTTCTTTCTCTACATTTTAGATAAAGCTTTGAATATTTGTGACAAAATTCTGACTTTGTCAGGGTTTTTTTGTAGTTGTTTTGTACATAATTATTGTCTAAATTAATAAAAAGCATAAGTTTTCTGTACAATTCATGAGAACAGTTGCCTGGACACATTGGCTTAGAAATAGTCTTAAATTGAAGATAATGGTTCAAGGCAGAAATTACTTCATTCATCAATATTTTTGTGCTGTATATTATTAATTTATCATTAACAATGTAATTTCAAAGTGGCTTCTAGTGCGTAGACTATAGTGCTACACTTGAGTAGTGAAAGTATACCATTGAAACTGACACTGAGCACCCACACAATTTGTGTCTGGGGAACTAAAGGCAGTACGTCCATTGCATGACAGTATATGTATGCAATGCACCTCTGTGATTATTTTGTCTTTATAACTCAAATTCCATACATAGCCTTTCTAAAATTTATTATGGGAAATAGCATTAAATTTTATAATGAATTTCCATACATATGTATATCTCACAATTTATTCACTGCACACAGGTACAAACGTTGAAATTTAATGAACAGTTAAGTCTATAAATAGTAATAATCAGCAATTAGTTGTCAAATAATAGTAGTGAAAATTTTGTGTATTTCAAATTCTTTTTAAATGTGAAATGTCTACGTCCCAATATGTAACATTAGACGTGGAAGAAAATTCAATGTCATCTTTTTTCATACCAATAAAAAGGTTATATTGAGCTCAAGGAAAAAATACTTGGTAAGTTATCCCAATTATAATATGAAAAATTGAAAGAAAATGATACTGTGGTGGAGTGCTGTTTTAACGTATGGGACAAGGGAGTGATGTGCATGATTGGATGGTATTTATAATATGGAATTATGCTGGTTCATGTTTCAGTTTTATACTGTACAATTCAATAAAAATGAAAACTTCTTCAATGTAATTATAATCCTGTTATTTATCCGGACGAATACATATACGTTTAAATTTTTAGTTTGTACAATGTTAAATTGAAACACTGAAGAAATACATTGAATATATTAAATTTTTAAAAAATTGAATACTATGTAACTTGATGTGATTTTTGTATTTTAGCATCAAAATGAGAGGAGGGGGAAGAGATCAGTGAAAGTAAGAACAGGATCCCCCACACTAACCTAGGTCCAAGCGCCCCCAATACTGTTCAAATGGCCTTGCAGTTGAGGCAGATCCACAGAATATGAGAGTGGTTACTTGCCCTCTGAGATTTTGAAAGATAATTATCTGCAAAAATAAACCTTTATACTCACATTTTTATTATATCAATATGCAGTTTGAATCATGACAGGGACATAAGAATTTCATTGCTTTTCCAGAAAACTATTTTTTATTGTTAAGTCGCATCAACAGCTACAGATATTAGAATTCTGTTGTAATGCAAGAAGCCTGTTTTATAAATAAGAACACAGTTTAATTTTCCCACAACTGCATTTGATTTCCATTAATCGATGCCTTGATAATTATATTAAAAAATATTTATAACATTTTGGGCAACTATTTTCCATAAAAAAAATTAATGGTGATCTTAGTGATGCATCTCCCACCCAGCGGTACCTATTTGTTTTAATTTCAGAGATAGACTATAACATCAGAGGCGTATTTGCAGTATGGCGGGCATGGTACGAGCCATGGGCGCCACTCGCAGGGACTCTATAGCAATATACCTGCAAAAACCAAGTAAAAGTAAAAAATTGAAGTATCCTGACGATCGCAAGATCTATGCTTGTCACGGCACATGAATACTTTCACTTAGTCTCTGTTCAACATAAAAAATAACTTTATGTGAGTGCGCGTGCGTGTGCGTGTACATATTCAATTGTTCATCATCCTTCTGCACCCCATCCCCGAACCCACTCATCTCATCCAACACACTCATGACGAACTGCACATATACTTCATATCCACAATCCGATGTCACTGTCCCATACGTACGATACGAACCAACCTCTGAACATCTTTCTGTTATTTTCTTAACAGAACTACAGCTTACCCCGCCCAACACCTCTCCGCAATCATCAACTGGTCATAATTCAAATGAAATATTTCAAGAAAGATCCATATATAAAGTACTCTCTTCCATATATATCTCACACGAAATTGACTCAGTCATTTCACATTTCAACCATCAAATCAATAAAGCCATTCAAAAGTTCATTAACCTTCATCCCTCGTCTTCACCCCACCCGACATCTCGACATCCTATTCCTACGGAGGCAAAAACGAAAAGCCCAAAAACTTTACTACAGGACATGATCACAAATTGATAAAATCACTTACGTGATACTAAAACATGACAGGCAAACATTATTTGACAAAACAAAATTTGACGATTAACACAGAATACTAATACTGTAAACACCAACAAACTGTATACTCTAATCCAACCCGTACGACCAACGAATCCACACATATCCTCCTCTTTACCCCTGACAACTCTCTTGCATATGATCCACAAGAAATAAACATTTTTGCCGCACCCTTGCAACCCGCTTTGGCTCCACCAATACTCGCTTTCCAGACTCCGTCCTTACCTTCAGACAACCATCCTTACCTCCAGGAAGACAAACCCTGTGGACTATACATAACGACGACAACTCTGAAGCGATAAAACCTCTTCAAACCAACATAGCTCCAGGACCCTACTCCATCTATTTTAAAAATTCAACTTTAAATGCAATCTCCCACCTAACCTTAATCTTCAATGCCTGTCTTCATACCGCTTACTTTCCCAAACTTTGGAAAGACGCCACTGTCGCTATGATCCCTAAACCTCACAAAGATCCCAGACAACCCTCAAACTATCAACATATCAGCCTCCTCTCTATTCCTGGAAAACTGTTCTAAAATTCATGAATCCCTACCTTCAACCCTACATTCACCCTTTACAATTCGGTTTCCACTCCGACCAATCATCGGCCCTTCAAACACTCCACTTTGCCATAAATATCGCCATCCTTTGCTTTCGACACAATAATCACCAAATTCTTCTGTTCAAATTAAAATCATTCCTT